CTATCTGAACAAAATATAAAAAAATGTCCTCAGGTGAGGATAAAAAAATAATAATAAATAAACATCAGGCGATATGGCCTATGAATACATTTACAATTCCATTCATAAATATAACAGCAAGGTTTTCTTTCTACTGCCACAGTGATGTGTTGACTTTACATGAGTATATAAATTATGAGTTCAGAGCCATAAAAATTCTACAGCCATTGACTGTCAACGTATTCGTTGCATTTGACATCTCATTTGTAACTGATACAGTGTAGAATAAGTTTTCTTATACTTTAAAATCATACACTTACTGATATCTTACGGAGGTGGTTGTGATTTGATTTTAGCTCTATTTAGCAATCACTGATCAAGTTGTGATCCAATGGAAGCAATACTTCTGGAGGAATGTGAAATCAACGAGCAGTTTCCTTCTGAAATACAGTGTTGAGAAGAAAGGTGGCCCCTGTGCGCGGGCCCATGAGCGTCGTCCTACTTGAGGGCAGACGTGCTCTAATCCTTTATTCAAACCACATTTCGGGGTCAAGAAGAGTACTAAATGGGACAAGTGTTGGCTTCTACATTTCCCAGAGATAACGTGATACTATCTTACCTGTGTCCTTCAGACCCTCACCACCCTGCCTCTTACCCACATTTCCAGGGCCTTATTCCTGGAAGGCCTTGCAGTTAGGTAACTGCCGTAATTCTCCCTGGGGTTAAAGGTCTAACCAGGGCAGCAGCATGCTGGAGTCAGCTTGAAAGATCATTGCTAAATAGTCAGGAATTTCTGGAGCAGACTGTTAGCTTGGTAGCTTCAATCAGCCATGGAGGAAATATGTACACCATGAAAACTGAAAAACATTAGAAACTGCCCTACCCCAGCCCCAGAGGGCTGGTTCGTCAGCACACCATTGGGTGTAACGATTGCCAGGGAATCTTGAGCTTTCAGGAGGTACTCCTAAAAATCTTATTCAAAAATCTGGATTCAAAGTGAACCTCTATGGCTGGGACTTCTCCACCAGGAACGACCCTGGGGAAGTCCCAGGGGCACTGTCCAGGTGTCACTGCGCAGGCAAGCAGCCTGACCACCTTCTGAAACCAGTTCTGCCGACACATCGCCAGGAGACATGGTGGGAAATTGTAACATTTTTTAGTAAGTATATTGTCTTTCTGGCCCAAGGATGATTCCCAAAGGCATATGTGCACATAGCCTTACAAAATGTGTATTATTCTATAACAATGATATACTGGATCAGACTGGTATTTTCAGAATTACTGACAAAAGCAGAGAATTGAGTATAAGAGTGGACTGCGCTCCTTAAAGAGAACTGCCCGCCTCACAGAGTGTCTGAAGTAGAAGCCTGTGGGGTAGACAGGGACTTACTAACCGAGCGCCAGTGAAATAATCTGGTGGTGCCTACAACTGAAAGTAGGCCTTAACGCCTTACTGAGATCTTACAAAATCGTAACTGTTGAACTAGTGGATAAAGAAAAGGCCAGGCTCAGTTACCTAAGAACAGCAAGTACATTTACTCATATTCCTAGAATATTTTCTTTGCAATGGGGCCAGGATGAGCTGTGCTTAATACACACTAGCTATCTCTCCTACGTACTTTTTCCTATGCTTTTCTCTGTTCTCAAATATTGACCAGGCACTATCTTCACTGTGAGGGAGGAAAAAATTCCAGCCCCGTACAGTGTTTGTTTCAGAGGATTCTACCCATTTTTAAAGTAGACAGTACTATTCAAAGGCCTCAAAGAGATTCTCCCAGTAATATGCAGAATATGTAGTTTCTGATTAGTTGGCTGTAATTAGAAGGCAATGTTGAAAGCTGTAACCTTTCTGTTCCCTAAGAATAGCCCAGGAGCCTTTTAGAGAAGATGATCTGACTTCTGAGAAAACTGTGGGGTGGCTTTAACAGCCTTCTTGGGAAGAATCCAAATGTAACTAAATAAAAATATACAAAAAGTATGCTTTATAAAGAACACTATGAAGCATAGTCAGAAGAAATTTGGCTTATAATTAACCCATGCTTCTGAAAACAGAGTCTAAAAGCAATAGAAATGGATTTTAATGACGGGCTTTTAGTATAACAGTTACAGCGATGCTTTGAGTTTGTTGTCAATAGCTGTTGACTATGAGAAAAATGTGTTCCTATCAAAGCAGGTAAAACTAATGAACACATTGTGCATATAGAGCTTAATATATACTCTCATTTAAAAAAACTATCAATGAATTCATTAAACAAAAACAAAAATTCAAAGCAACAGCGGCTTCAGAGCTATTAACTCTGGAGGCCTGAAATGTAGCAAAGACATAAAGGATATAGATTAAGCATGTGACTGACATAGTTTATCTAAATATAAGTTCTTTTGGCACCAGGCAAAGGCATTAGAGAAAGATGAGGGTCAACAGTGGTGGACGGCATGGTGGTTGTCTGCCAGCCTTTCCTGCTGACCTACAGGAGCATGTCGGGACTAACAGGAGCCATCCAAGCAGGGCATGTAAACCTCCCACACCAGCCTGCAGCTGCCTCAAACTACTGGAGTGCAAACGCGGCTGTTAGTTTCTATAATGTCAAGTAAGTCCCTTTGGCCGCTAGATGGAGATCAGGTTACTCTGCCAGTGACAAGGGGAGCTGCTGGCAGTCAGCAAGTGGTAAGTGCAGAGTGGAGGACCCATTCTTTTCTCAACACTTCTGATCGAGTCCCTAAATCAGGAGCAGCCCTATGTCAAACACAGTGTCCATGAACGAGGAAGAGCTGTAAGAAGTGAATAGGAAGAAATCTGTAAAAGACAAATTTTTACTTATTACCATTGTGCCCAGGATAATTCGTATTTAGAGTTGGTTGTGTAAACTACTTATAAATAATAACATGAACTGGTCTTAATAAAAGCAATTAAATATGCTGTCTCATTGTTTACCAAGCAATGAGAAGGAAGAAGAGAGATATAACCCCCAAATTAAAAACAATGGCAGACTATTTGGACAATGAATTTTGTCTGTTCAGACATAAAGACATGCTCACAATTTGTTTCTCAGTTTGAATCTGTATATAAGTATACATTTTTAGTGTCAACCAAAATGGATCAGGGAACATCAGAGATGGAAGGAGAATGTTAGATAACATCTACTCTAATTTTCCTAATGGAAGTACGATTCAATTCTGAATTATGTAACTTTCTTATTGAATAAGTCGTCTGTCTGTTATAACTGCACACTGAACTGGAGGCACAGTTGTATATTTCCTGAAAGATGGGTGGTTTGGGAAGGATCAGATATTACCCTGTATAATACAGCCAAATATTTTGTTTATTTTTGACATGTTAGGTACTACAATTCTGTTTATTCCTAACTTAATAATCACATATAGTCAACAAATACCTAATTTGTTATATAAAAACAAATGAATAATTTGTGACAGTTTAAAATAATTCCATTTGTTATCAAATAGCTTTAATGACCAGGGTAATTTGTTATACATGAATGTGAGCATGAACAAACATACGAATTGCCTGTTGGGTCCCAATCATTATGTTAGGAACCGGGAATGCAAAGATGTACGACAGAGTGGGGAAGACACTGGGCGAGAAATGCTACAGAGCTGAAGATGCACAAACGGGTTAATTTCTGTGGCAGTGGACACCAATGGTCAAAATCATGAGGAACGGTACTTTTTAAAGTTCTATTGTAAAAGATCAACTTAATAGGCCAAAAATGCTGACCACAGGAAAAACATGACCTTTGATATTTATAACACATGAGAAATTAAAAATAAAATATAATAAAAGATTCAAATACAACAGTATTTACTATTAGGTATCAATCACTGTAATGAAAATGGAAGTTTAATTATTAAAAGGGAGAAGAAATTAATGTTTGGAATAGTAAAAGAAACAGAACCATAGTTAATTAATTTTCTAATTATTGTTATGGATAGTGACCAACATTTAGTCTGTTGCTATGATAAATCCACTGCACTTAATGACATGTTTATTTTAGAGCTATATATTTGTTTTAGCTTAATTAAATTAATATTCATAAACTTTCAAAAGGATTTGAGGTTGCTTACCTACATTGATTTATGATTTTCAAAATGCTCCTTCAGGCTTTTAAGAATCTAAGAGAACTATGTAAAATTCATTCACAAATATATACACTTCTCCTTTAAGAAAATCACAAAAATAACCACATAAAATAGTAATTATTAATCAGGTATCAATAGAACAGTTTGTGGAAACTTATCTTGTTAATTGGCTCTTTGCAGGGCAACATGGCAGGCAGAAACCTACATTTCTTTTTAATGGATAGAAATGAAATGTAAACAAGGAAGTTTTCTTCTGGAGATTAAAATAAATAAATTACAAATAAATCCTTTTATGATATGCTTTAGTATTTATGAGTAAACAGGCTTCCTCGTTGTTCACATGGGTTCCAAACATCTGGATTAGATGGTGACTGAGTCACTTTAGGAGTCCTGGATGGAGTTGCCTCTCACTTTGGTGACCTGTTTCCATACATCCTTCCAGTGTAAGGGCAGGTCTACTTATAATGACAACTAAACTTACATTATCTGGAAATAGGGACGTTGGTAAAAACACATCTCTATTAGACGCAGTTTTGTTTATCTTTTCTAGTCTAAAGGTTTGGGCTTTATAATAATAAGGATCATTGTAGATCCTCAGTATCTCTATGTCCTTGGTAGTAAAAATGAGAACAGACGCAAAGCTGGTGCTGGAAACTGATGAATGCTTAAGGTTAAAAAATAAAAGCTGATCATATTCGCATGCTGTGCTGTGAGGAACCTGTCCATTTAAGCACTGACAGAAAAAAAGGCACATTTTTACTTTTTTCAGATAGATATGGTTTGCCTTTTTCTGGGTCCAAAATTTATTTTGGCCATTAAAGAAACTTAAAGAGTCACTGGGCTAGAAGTTTTCACAACTGTGGCATTAGGAACACATTTAAACCTGAATATACACCCTTAAGGGGTACGGTCAATTCAAGCGGTACCTGCATATGTCTGTCCTCTTGTCCAATCATGTTTCTCCATTCCATGAGTGAGCGCTGCAGGTGCTCAAGGCCAGTTTCCCAGAGCCTGACGCGACCTCCCATATCGACAGTAACCACACCGCCTTTGCCCCACTCAGCCAGCAGCGCATCTGTGTCGGAGATAGTAGATAGCCATGTGGTGTATGGGGAGAGAAATTCTGATCTGAAAAAGAAATTACAGTATTCCACCAATTGGTATTCCAAGCAATGAAGCTGTTTTAACCTGATGTAGGTGCATTAAACTTGCTATAAAGAATTCTAATAGTACGCACATTAAAATATACCAACAGATCCATCTATTAAATTAAAAAATATACTTATAGTTATTGGTGATTTATATTTTCTGTATTTACAGATGACATTAGTATTCACTGTCAGAAAGAAAGAAACTCTAAACCAACTCACAATTCACAAACGTGCAGTGTAAGGTCAGTGCTGAAACTGATGCTCTGTTTATGTATTTTAATTACTTTTGTACTTGATATTTTGCCTTTTCTAACTTAGGAAATTATAAAGATTTATAACAAGAAATTTATATATTTCTCTGTTATACATTTCATATATATACATGTTTACTTTATTTTTCTGACACATATACAGTCATTTCTAGGAATGTAACTTTTGGCTATAAGAGTCAATTGCATATATACTTTATCTGAGTATAGCTCTTACTATATAAAAACATACATTAGAAATTCTTATTAGTTTTGGTTCTCTAAACACATTTGATATATTCTACATAAAATGAATTATCTAAAGGGATAGTCTGGTCAGATAATGAAAACATAAACTATCATTGTTGATCTGGTAAAACCACAAAACCACAATGTAGCAGATAAATTCTTATAATATACCAAAAATAAATCAAGACTATTTTGATTTTGATTTTTAGTCTGCCTTAGATTTTAAATGCACTATAACAAAATCAGCTACTCTAGAACACAGAAGTCTTTGAAAATGTTTATATAAAGAGGAGGATAACAGTAGGATAGGACCAAGTGTCTCAGAACTACTTTGTGTACTAGAAGGTCTCAAAAAAAGTAGTATTTTATAGAACACAGGATATCACTTATTGTGCTCTCCAAAAAATATTTGCCTTAGGGAAAAAATTAGTAGGTACAGATGGTGAAGTAAAAGGGCTATTTAAGAGTAATGAAATTGATACATGTGAAACTATGATGTTTGAACCTCTTTCAAGAGCACTCGAGACGTGTGTGTCCAACATGCACTGTGCCTACTGCTTGCATATTTAACTCGTCCCCATGAAACTTGACATTTACAAGGGCAATTTCTTCAACATGTCAACACAAAGCGCTGAAGAAATCACATTTTTACATCAACATGTACATCAGGTCTAGAATCTCTTCTCCAACTTTAAAAAAATAGAGGTTCTCCTTATACATAAAATATTCTTTAAGAAAAATATAGAATTATAGCAGAGTAAAACCGAGATTTATATATGCCCACATACAAGAGCTAGGCAGTATCATTTTACAAATGCAAATAATATAAAAATTCAAAAAAATATACTCAAATTTTATTGAGAGCAAAAGTCATATATTCATTTTGGCCCCGCAGTTACATATAATTTTACTGTATTGTCTGTTATTTGAAGTTAGCCACTAAATGGAAAATTCCTGATATCTAGCAGAATGCTCAATTTAAGTACTTGGCAACTAAACTGAAATCCAGATGGGCTGTTCCCTTGGATTACAGATATGCCAAAATATGACAATTAATCTCAAGAGAAACTCAGAATGTACTGACAGTGCACAGAATACGTCATGTGGCTCCTACAGTGTGGAAAGCCCAATTTTAGACATTTCCTAGGTGTAAACACATACTAGACATCAAAGACTTAGAAAAAAGAAGGAATGCAACTTATTAAAATTTTTACATTGAATAATGTCAAGCTAATATTTAAGATATATTGGGTTAAATAAAACACTAAAGTTAATTTCACTTGTTTCTTTTTACCTTGTTAACGTGCTCACTAAGGAGTATAAAATTGCCTATGTGGCTCACATTACATGTTTCTATTGGACCGTGAGCTCGAATGAATTATGGTTATATATACAGTTGCTCATCCAGATGTTCTTTCTATGGCAGGTATAACATATAGGTTATAAAGTTAAAAGAAAAAACATGGAAATAAAAAGCTAGAGCTAATGATGCAGGAATTAAAACAAAGAATGAAAAAACATGTTTAATGCTTTAGTAATGTAAAAAACAAAATGTTGTTCTTTGCTTTTATAACTTGTGCTAAAAGTATATTTTAATGAGCATAAAATTGATATGAAATAGGACTTTCCCCAAATAACTAAAAGCCAATTTCCATTAAACTGAGACAAGAAGGCATATTTATATATGTTGGAATAAATAAATCTATTTCTTCGACTATGATTTCATTATTCATATTTTTTTGAGCCTGATTAAAGGGTAAATGAAACTGCTTCTGAGTTATTTTGTACTGTCATGCTGAGTTGGAGGAGTGGGTAAAAAAAGGGGTCTGGTGATATTTTGGGTAACTGACAAGTTCCAGTGTCCTGGCCTTCCTGTGACATCGGGAGGCTTTGCAGGCTCCTCTGCTTAGGATTTTGAGAGACATTTTAACCACTGTGTTGTGAAGGCTGTCGCCTGTGAGGGAGTGTATGTGAGGAGGGCAGGATGTGAGACCAATGCAGGTGCACGATCAGGTAGAAGGAGGTCAGGCATGGATGCATCCAGAGGGGGATGGGCTGCAGGTGAGGACCCCAGTGTTCCTCAAGGCAGACACTGAGCATCACTGCTTCTCTTTCATCACCTCAGCCTAGCTAGTGGGGACGCCTTGCTTCCATCCCTGGACAACAGTAAAGCAGCGACTGGCCACGAGTTCCATCTCGAATCTCTGAAATCCTTTGATGACTGTACATGCACAGTAACATATTTTACAACAATATTAACCAAATGCTATTTAAATTACTTTGACATTTGGAACACATTTATCTCAAAACGAATATATGAAGTTAATTGGTATGAAAATTTCTGTAATACTAAAAATGCTATTCTGGATACAAAAAAATGTTATCATTGGAACAAAACAACAAAAGAGAAATAAAGACTGTAAGGCTCATAGATTTACACGTATGTAACATATGGACGTTTCCCCAAAATGAACATCAAAATAGCAGTAAGGCATGCAGAAGAACAGCAAGATAGAAACCGACTGTAACTGTGGGGGGCGGGGGGGGGGAAGCTTTATATTTGAGAAAGCAAAAAAGCACACACTTACTCAGAATACTTGTTAAGAATTCAGTCATTTTTTTTTTTTTTAATCTGCCATACAAGTGAAAAACAAAGGTGGAAATGGATTACCTGGGAATAGGGATATATCGGAGTTTCTTTGATTGAAGATCAGTGACTTCTATATAACCAGATGTCTGTGGGGGCGTAACATCTGCAAATAGTCATGACATGAACAGAGTATTAAATTACGACATGATACCAAAACAGGAACAACAACAACAGAAGCATGAATCCTGCTACAAGTGGAATGAAGTTATCAGTAGCCTGAAGGAGAAGTCCGAGACTCCCTTGACGAGGTCTTAGGCCTAGAACAGCCTCAAGGCCAGACACTCAGAGGTGTGTTTTCATTAGGGAAATACAAAGACTGTCAAATAGAGGCAAATTAGACCAAGATTCTTTACTGTCAAAAAATAACCTGCCCAGCTGGTGTGGCTCTGGTTGAGCATCGATCCATGCACCGGTTCAATTCCCAGTCAGGGCACATGCCCAGGTTGTGGGCCAAATCCCCAGTGAGGGGCACGCAGGAGGTGGCCAATCGATGTTCTCTCTCATCTATGTTTCTATCTCTCTCTCCCTCTCCCTTTCTCTCTATAAAATCAATAGAGAAAAAAAAAACCTAAGTCCTTTTCATTGTCTTTGATAGCATCCCAAGATGGGTCAGTATTTGAGCACTTTAATTGAAATGTTTCATCATCTGAATTCTGGTTTCCTTCTCAGGAATGTAGTGTATTATGGTGGAATCAGCGCCTACTTTGTCATCAGACTAACCTGGTGTGAAACCCTAGCTTCTGAGTGTTTCATGCTGGGTTAGGTTAGTTACTGCTCTGAGACCGCTTTTGTCACTGGGAAAATGAGGATAAACAGCAGCAGCTGAACATCATAAACATTATGTGAGGGTTAGATGAATTTAGTAAATGTAAATCACCGAATTAATAGTTGCCCAACACACAGTTATTCGGGTTCTAGAAGACAGGAAAAGGTGAAGCGAGGATGGGGCAGTGGAATGACGACTCCGGGTCTGAAGAGCAGGAAAAATGGGGAGGAGAGGGCTCAACAGAGATTCTAAGTCGCTTCCCAGCAGTCCCAGGGGTTTGCTGGCCTCTCTTCCCCGGCCCTGAGCACCCCAGTGTCCTCATCACTAGCTGGGCCAGGAACTCTGCTCAGTCCTTACAGACAGTATTTTTCACACTGGTAACAATGAGACTTAGGGTTCTTGTTGGAGAGATGAGGGAGCCGAGGCTTACAGAAGTAATATAATCATGTGGTTAGCTTGAGGCCATGTAGCCGTAGAGGAAGGGACATGGCTTTCAAACCCACATCTTTCTGGCTCTGGAATCTATGTTCTGTCTGCCACTCCCCACAGTTCCTACGTGAGCTGGGTCAAGAGCAACAACTTAAAAATTAGCCCCATTTTACAAAATCTAGGCCACTACCATCTCTTTAAAAAACAAACAAACAAGCAAACAACTTCTCCTACACTGAACCCATACTTTTAAAGATTTCTGTCTATCTATCTAATCTTCCTACAACTTCTGAATAGAATGAAACATCAAAAATGTCCACACTCAATTTATTACGTGTAGTTCACAAAAAATAAGAAAGTTGGCATTTTTACTTCATATTTGCAGGTTTTTGAGTAGTCCACCTGAAAAATTCTAACTCTCTCTTACTTATTCAACAAACGTGGTTGAGCTTACTTTGCACCAGACACAGCACAAAGCACTGGGGACAGAGAAGAAAAAGATGAGGACCACAGCATAAAGAGGAAAGATATGTTTTAAAAAGCAAACACACACACGGAAAAGAAAAAAGAAAAACAACAACAATGTGTACCCTTAAGGATTCAGAAAGAATTCCAGGGTGGGAATCACTGACCTAGGACCAGGTGTGAGCTGCAGAGCTGGGCAAGGAGCAGTGCCAGGGGCAAAGGACTCAGGGAAGGGAAGATAATGTACAGAGACAGCAGAGAGTAGGAAGAGAGTTACTATGGCAATCTGACCTCCCAGCTGGACTGGCTGTCCCCAGACGGCCATTTGTACGAAATGAACATGCTTACCCTAAGTCAGGCACTGCCTGCATTGGAAATGCTGCCTGAGATACAAGGTCAATCTTGGATAAAGATATGCATCATATATCATTTTTGACAGTTCCTGCTGCTAAGACCTAGTTAAAGTAGACTGAATTATTTATAGACCCAGGCTCTTTGCCAAAAATGACCAGTTATTGCAGCAGTTGGGATGGATAGAGCTGCCTAGCTTTTTGGCTTGCTGCTAACAGGAACTATTTTCATAACTATTAGTGTTAAGTTGAGCTACTGCCATTAGCACTTTCAGCCGGCTAGTGAAGGCGACGAAGCCATACTTTAAATGATCTTGTTTCTACATTTTTCTTTCACTGTGCAAATTAACTTATGGCATAAAGAGGATGAGAAAATTCAATAATGGCTATGTCTATTTCAAAAAGAGAAAGCAAGAATTTTACTCTTGGTGCTAAAAAGATATTTTCACTATCAGAAAAGGCCATTTATGGCTATCGAGTACTTCAAAAAATACTAAGGGTGGTGACAGTGGTGGTGGTCATTGAAAGCACTTGACACATAATCAGAATCGATGTTTACTGATTTTAAAATAGATCAGCTCAGAATATATGATTACATTAAGAAAGTAAAAAACCGTGGCCAGATTTCCCTCCAAACTCGGCCAAATCCTTTTCTATCTTTTTAAATGTTCCAACACCATCAAGCGGATGGAGGCTCAATAAGTTTCCATCATATTTACAAAGCTAGGTGTGAACTGTAGTTGGGACTGGTCCACCAGTGATGGAAGGCAAGTCACTACGGCCGCGTGGGCGGCATCATGAACAGTGGGGCAGCGCACAGGCCCAGGGCCAAGGTTAGGGGAGGGATAAAAACTGCCGGGCAAAAGCACCAAGAACATTTTCGGAGGGAAGATGAAATTATGTGTAAAAATTTTACTCCTTCTAGCAATGTAGTTTGATGTACATCTGTTAACTACTAGTTAACAATCTTGTACTTAGATCAAAAGAGTGATGCGTGTCCCACAATCGTGCTGATACTAAACCTTTGAATTTACTCGAAGTTAAAAAAAACAGCCTACTGCTTTCAATCAAGAGTCATTATTTTGTGTTTAAAGAGCTGAGGCCTGTGACTAAAAAAAGCTAACACTTAGCTAGAAGAAAAACAATCGGAAGAAAGCAAATTTCACCCTGTCTGCATTAAACAAAAGTCACACCATCGTTAAGCTACGGAGCGTAGCCTTTAAGTTTCTATTGATTTCTTTAATGAAAGACTGCTATGCATCAGTTCCTGACTAGTCAGATGGCTGGATTCTATTTACTTTAAGAAACTGCATTTTTCAGCCCTGGCCAGTGTGGCTCAATGGTTGTAGCCTCGGCCCACAGACCAGGGGCCCCAAGTTCAAATCCTGGTCAAGAGTGTGTGCCTGGGTTGTGGGTCTGATCTCCAGACCCACCAATCAATGTGTCTCTCTTGAATCGGTCTCTCTCTCTCTCTCTCTCTCTCTCTCCCCCCTCCCTTCTCTCCTTCCCTCCCTCCCAATCTCTCTCTCTAAAAATCAATGAAAAAATATCCTTGGGTGAGGATTGGAAAAAAATGCATTTCATCAGAGCATAGATTAGTGAGTCACACAGGCGACAGAAAAAGCCGCAGCCCCTGCTTCACTCCTCCTTCCTTCATTTCCTGCTCCCAGAGACAACTTCAACTTTTATGCTGTTTCTTTGGTATTCACCTTCATTCTTATGGTACTGTCTTGATGTTGTAGTTTTAGGGATTATTTATTGACTTTCCACCGGGTAAGATAAGAGTTTAACTCTTTTTCATATGCCCCTTTGCTACCTAACACCTTGTTTTTCCCATTCTCAATATATTTATATGATAATTTCAGTTAGATTAACATCCAGTGCTTATATTATTATGATTATATAAATGCTATTCACAGCTGAGCTATGTCTTACTTTTGCTATTATTTCTTTCTCTTTCCAGTACAACCTTTTCTTTTCATGGAGTTAATGATCATCATGTTTTGTTGTTGGTTTAGTTTTTCACTTAGCACAAATTCATCCTCAAAGTGTTCCCTAATTGCAAAAATCTCTAAACATGTTCAAATATACTGGGTCTATCACTTTCACTTTCTTGGAGGCGTCTCTTGTGAAATTGTCTCATGTTTTCTAATCTGAACTGATTGGTCCCTGGGTCTGTGCCCAGCTGTCATCCTGGGATTTCCCTTTACCATTTTCCTAGGGGTTTTTTTTACAGTCCAATAAAATTCTCCCTGTGTGCTAGACATGATTCTAAGCACTTCTGTATATATTTGGAATATTTAAGAAACACCACTTAAACAAACGAGGAGAAATAAAGCTCCTACCAACCAAGAAAAAACTAAAAAAGATATAAACAGGCAATTCTCAGAAGAGTAAACCACAACATGAAAAAGATGTTCAAACTTACAAGAGAACAGAGAGGAGTAACGTAAAACCACAACAAAAATGCTTCTACAAGAGTACACAGGGCCCTGGGACTTCTTTTACGCTGCTGGATTAACAACGTTGGGCAACAATTTGGTAATGTCACTCTTAGATATACACCCTAAAGACTCTCAACATACACACAAGAATACAGGTAAAAGAATATTCATAGCCCACTATTTTTAATAGCAAAAAACTGGAAAGAATTTAAATGCATACCAATAAAGAATAGATGAATAAACTGTGTTATTACGGCAGTGAAACTTAATGAAATACAGTTATCAATACTAATGATAACAAAGGTTCTCTTTCTGACCAAATTCTGGTCAGATCTTCCCAACCAGACCCTGACTTCTGGGCTTCCAAAAGTTTTTCTCTGTTATTCAACTTTAGCAAGAATAATGCTATATAAGTTTAACCCAATGCCCTGCCCTCGATATCTGAGTGGGTTCCTGACCCTCCACTTGCCCCACGTGATGTCTGGTCACCCCACCTGCCTTCAGCTCGAATCTGGTTAGGTTGACTTAGTCAGAATTTTCCTTTAACCCTGATGTCCTCTTAGTAATTTTTCATCCACTGATACCCACCAAGTTGGAGAATCTATACTACCTGATTATAAGGCAAATATAACATATAAAGCTAGAAAATAATTATGAAAGTGTGGTATTAGTGAAGGGATGGACACGTAGATCAATGGAACAGACCATAAATCCCAAAGTAGACCCACACACATGTGCTAGTTGATTTTCAGCTGAGGTCCACATAATTCAAAGAAGAAAGAACAGTCTCTTCAGAGTATGATGCTGACACAACTGAATATCCCCGTGCAGAATAATGAGCCTCACCCTGCGCCTTGTTCCACATAAAAAAGTGAACTCAAAATGAAGCATAAATGTATGATTGAAAAATATAAAATTCCTAGAAGCAAACATAGGAGACTTTTCCCTTTATCAAAATGGGAGAACATGTTGGGAAAGCATATATCTGATACATATATCTAAAGAACACTCAAAACTCATTAAAAAGCAAGCAAATAACCCAATTCGAAAAGTGGGCAAAAGATCTGAAGAGACATTGCACTAAAGAATATACACATGAAAAGATACTCAGTATCATTAGAAACCAGGGAAAATGCAAATTAGAAATCATAATGAGATGTCACTACACACCAACGAGAACGGCAAAAAACTGACAATATCAAGTACTAGAAAAGTGGAAGAGGAACTGGAATTTTCACTCATCGCTGACAGGTATGCAAAATGGTATTACCATTTTGGAAAACAGTTTGACAGTTGTATCATATGATGTAAAAATGCCATTCCTAGATATTCACTCAAGTGAAGCAAAGACTTACGTTCATTCATTTATTTATTTAATCCTCACCCAAAGATATGTGGTATTTATTTATTTATTTATTTATTTGTTTAATTCTCACCCGAGGACATTTTTTCATTTTTTTGTTCAGATAGAGTGGGAGGGAGAGAGAAGAAGAGAGAGAGAGAGAGAGAAACATCGACGTGAAAGGGACACATCGAGTGGCTGCCACCCACAAGACCAACCAGGGCCGGGGACAAACTGCAACCGAGGTATGCGCCCTTAGAGGGAACCAAACCCAGATCTCTCTGGACCGCAGGCCAATGCTCTAACCACTGAGAAAACCGGCCAGGGTGATATGTAGTTTTTTAAAAATTGATTTTAGAGAGAAAGGAAGAAGGAGAGAGAGAGAAACATCGATGTGAGAGAGAAACATTGGTTGCCCTGACTGGGGATCGAATGCACAACCTAGGTATGTGCCTGACTGGGAATCAAACTTGCAAACTTTTGGTGTATGGGATGATGCTCCAACCAACTAAGCCACCCTGCCAGGGCCAAACTTACGTTCTTTTTAAAATTTGTGTACAAATATTCACAGCAGCTTTATTCACTATTGCCCTAAATTGGAAACTATCCAAGTATCTATCAACTTGTAAATGGATAAAAAAACTTTCCTTCCATACATCCACAAAATAGGCTACTCAGTACTTGGCAATAAAAAGTAGCAAACTACTGGTACACACAACATAAATAATTCTCAAGTACATTATATATTAAGCAAAGAGGCCAGACTCAAAAGGCCACATACTGTGTGATTCCATTTATATAACATTCTGGAAAAGGCAGATCAGTAAGTACAGAAATCAGGTCAGTGCGGGTTTGAGGGTGTGAGAGGAGGATTTGATGGCAAAGTATCATGGGGGAGGTTTGGGGGAGCTAGAACTGTTCTCTATATGTTGTGGTGACAGTTATACAACTGCATGTACTTGTGAAACTTGCATCACTATAACACTAAAAAGGGTGAATTTTACTATATGTTAACTGGGCCTTAACAAGGAAACAATGAGGGAGAAGCATCAGGGCTGACCCCTAGGCTTCTGGACGGATGAAGGTGCTCTAAATTCTAGTACAGAATTTTGCGTAATTCCTGGAGTACTGTCATGGCCCCGTACCTTTCACATGGGATTCCCTCTTCCTGAAACAACCCCTTCATCTGATTTACTCCCACTTATCCTTCAAGAGTCAGCTCATAATCACCAGTCTGGGTTGTAAGTTTCTCCTTCGTGTTTATATATCACCTTGTGCTTATTCCTATCATAGCAGAATTTATTCACCTGCCTCTTCAAGCATAAAAAACATTTTAAAGAAATGGTGTTTTATGCGGAAGGGACTAATAATTCTAAATATTAACATATAACTAGGACTTTTCAAACCAGTAATAGATTATTGTATTACATTTAGAATTATATTACAAAGTCCACACTAACATAATAAATGTAAATACAGGACAACATATTGCTAACTCTATGATGCAAATAATAATCAGTGGCTCAACGATCAAAGTTTCTCATAGTTATCTATTACAGTGAGAGCCAGTGCTCCAGTAAGAGCAGCTGTGGGCGAGGGACTAAAGACCTTGGTGCAAACCTGGGCTCTGCCAGCCTCTGGGGGGAGACCCTCAGCAAATTACTTTACCTCCCTGTTTCTCTGAATGTAAATTAGAGAGTATACTAACAATAAAATGGGGATTTGAAGATTAAATGAATTCATACAAAGAAAAGTGATTAGCATAGGACCTGACATATATTATGCAGTGTTGTGTATTGGTTTGATATGATTTCAAATCAAGGTTGTTTTAATCTACTTGTTTATGGCAAAGACAAACACACACACACACACACACACACACACTGTTCTTTGAGAAATAAAGTTATTCAGATATAAGAATGAAGAAAGTTGTGGCAGGCTGTCATTACCTTATCTGTTGGTATTGATAAGTAATTCAGATGCTGAGGGGCCCTGCTTGGGGCTTATCAAATAAAACACGTAATGAAGCAGCTACGGCAAGGGGACATTTCACTATAAATACCAAGGGTTTGCAAGGACTTATGGAGACTGTTTGGTCTGGACCAGGCAAACACTTGCTGATCTAAACAGATCTCTGAAGAACTTTGGGCATTGGTTCCTGTCCTCCTAAAGGCAACTCGTATACCAGCAGTGGCCTGAGGAGGAGACTACGTTGTGTGCCAACACGGGTGTTGCTGCTCCCTAGCAACACTCTCTAGCAACAAGGGACTTTTGTTTCTGTGCTGGTAAGCACGCTCCAGGCTGGCTAAGTGGTCTTGTGTAGAAAACATACACCTCGCCTAACTCTGGACTTCTTTCTTGCATCTATCCTTGCCTGAAACAACAGTATGATGAACTGATCATTGGTTTGGAGTTCATCATTTCTTTATCGGCTTATTAAAAGACATTATTCTGTATGCCATTGGTTTGTAAAATTCCTACAATGAAGCTGCATTGAATAAACTGCTGGCAAAGACAAACTCATTCTCTGAGCACAATCTGCAGTGCCAAACAAAACGCGTAGTAATAAATATAAGCTGATTTTTGGGAGCACTAATAAGAGAATCAGTCTGCATAAGTCCCTGCCCTTTCATCACAAGAGTCTGTGCCACCAATTTTCAACCTTTTTCATTGCATGGCACACGTAAACTGATTACTATAATTCTGCGGCACACCAAAAAATATATGATATTTTTGCTGGTCTGACAAAAAAAATAGGTATAATTTTGATTCATTCACACTGGATGGCTATTGTGTTGGCTGTTGTCATTTTTTTATTTGACAATCTAAAGGAAAAGAGGTCAGTGCCCTTGACTAAATAGTCAGGTATCACACATTTTAAAAATTCTTGTGGCACACCAATCGAAAATCGCTGGTTTAAGACAAAAGTCGGGCCCCATTTTCTATGTCTAATAGTCCACCGATTTTTAAAAGTCTCCTTGACATGTTCTAAGTGAAGTTATTATATAGATTGTAATGCAAATGAAGATGAGTTCCAACAGCAAAGGCTACAACGACACAGTGTGAGAAGTTGAGTGAAATTTTCTGAGTACAAACAGGTCTTTAGAACTACTAGACCCCGATTATAATGACCTATAATTATAAATATACAATGATAATGATAAATTAAATATCCCTACCAAAGCAAACTACCTTGGTAAGTTAGGAATTAGGACTCTCTTACCTTTTGGGTAGATGTCTTTCAGAGGGACTTCTCCTGGGGGCAGAATCCTGGCGACCTGATTGGTCTCTGTGAGAGTCACGCAGTTGCTCTGTTTGGGAGTTCCACTTCTCTTCTTTCCTCCGTAGAAGGCAGTATCAGTGAACCCTGACTTATGCAAAGATGATGGCCTTTTCCAAGAATAAACTTCACTGGGTGACTGGAAAAAAAAAGAGAGAGAGATTAAAGCACTGAAATGCTAAGAAGCACATTCATTCACCACAACTTTGATAATGCAGCCCTTTAAGCAGATACCAGTGGTCAACTTATATTTCACAAGTATAGGAAAATAAAATGATTCCTTAAACTTTTTAAATTTGGTAAGTAGACAGCTTCACTAATAATCATAATTTTCAGACAAGTGAGAGTGTACAACATACTTTTTATCTTGAAATAAATTTTAACTAAAAGGGTGGAATATAACAATATAGTTATTTAAAAATAGCCCTAGCCAGTTTGGCTCAGTGGCTGGAGCATCAGCCCGTGGACCAAAGAGTCACGGGTTCAATTTCGGTCAAGGGCACGAACCTCAGTTGTGGTTGGGTCCTGGCCCTGGTCGGGGCTGGGCGAGAGGCGACCAATTGATGTGTCTCTCTCACACTGATGTTTCCCTTTCTCTATCTTTCGCCCCCTCCCACTCTATCTGAAGATAAATGAAAAAGTATCTTCTGGTGAGGATTTAAAAATAAAATAAAATAAAACAAATACTTAACACATCCACTATTCTGGCATAAGGAATAGAACATTATCAGTACTTTTTAATTAGTGTAGTTGACATACATCTTATAAGTTTCAGGTGTACAACACAATGACTCAACACCTATATACCTCACAAAGTGATCACCATGGTAAGTCTACTTATCATAAGGTCCCAATAGCCCACACTGGGTTATGCTCATGCACTGACATCCCCTCAACTTATTTGGGCTCCCATGTACCACATCAGGTTGCCCCTTCATGGGGACACACCATCTTCATCCTGCCTGGACTTGATTCCCATCCATAGTGGTCACCCCTCCCCCACCACAGATGTCCTTTTCACTTGCTCAGGCTCTGACCTCTGACACCTCACACTGGGACACTGTTTGCCCATTTTTTTTATATTGGATTATTGGTTCTCCTACTCTTGAGTTTTGAGAAATCTTTATATATTCCAATACAAGTCCTCTGTTGGAAATGCAATTTGCCAATATTTTCTCCCAGCCCATATATTGTCTTTTCTTTCTCTTAACAGTGTCTTTTACAGAGCTTAAGTTTTTTGTTTTGATGAAATTTATCAAAAAAATTTAATGGATTACATCTGAGATGCTTGGCACAATGTTTAATAGAAGTGGTGACAGTGGGTATTCTTGTCTTATTCTTGGTATTATTTCATTTCTTTGAATATGTTTTTATTGATTTTAGAGAGAGAGAAAGAGAGAGAGGGAGAGAGAGAGAGAAACATAGATCCATGCCCCCTTACTGGGGATTGAGCCTGCTTTGGGCTTGTGCCCTGACTGGGAGACAAACCAGCGACCTCTCTGGTGCATGAGACCATGCTCAACCACTGAGCCACACTGGCCAGGGCTTATTCTTGATACCAAAAGAAATGCTTTTTATGTTTCACTATTGAGGATGATATTTGCTATAGGTTTTAGCAGATATTTGATATTAGGTTAAGAAAGTTGTAATAAGTTTATAATTAATTATGTGCCTCTGATAATGCTATAAAACGTTAATAAAAGGTGACATACCCCTTTCTTGATAGTTTTATGAAGAATCAAAAGAAATTCACACAAAAGCAGAAAAGCACTGTGGTTTAGTAGAAAGGCAATGGTTGAGGGTCAGTCACACTTGAGCTCAAATCCCAGCCAATTTACTCATAATCTCTGTAGTCTAAGGCATATGTCCTCTCTGTTTCTGTTTCTTCATTTATAAAATCTTGTCAAAGTGCCTGACTATTGAGTTAAGGCCTAAAAAATATGATTGTTATAAATGCTGAAAGGCTGCATAACTGACTCTGGTCTACATTAAATACAAATTCATTGAACTATCATCTATGCAGTGGGTACCATACTTAATATGAAGGATAGAGCTTTTAATTTAACAAGGTCACTAGCCTTACAGGCTATAAAGAATTTCTGCAGGGTTAATCAAAACAGTGCCTTACAGTGGAGTGAAGACAGTCTCTTCAATAAATGGTGTTGGGAAAATTGGGCAGCTACTTGCAAGAAAATGAAGCTAGACACCATTTTATACCATACATGAGAATAAACTCAAAATGGTTAAAAGAAAGGCAACTCAGGAATCCATAAAAATTCTAGAAGAAAATGTAGGCAATAAAATCTCAGACATCATACGCAGCAGAATTTTCACTGATATACACCTAGGGCAAGAGAAACAAAGGAAAAAATGAACACATGGGGCTACATCAAACTAAAAAGCTTCTGCACAGCAAAAGAAACAACCATCAAAACAGAAAGAGATCCCACTATATGGGAGAGCATAATCACCAATGATGCATCAGATAAGGGGTTAATTTTCAAAATATATAGAGTGCTCATACAACTCAACAAAAGGAAGACAAAGAACCTGATTAAAAAATGGGCAAAGGACCTAAATAGACACCTCTCCAAAAAGGACATACAAATGGCCAAGAGACATATGAAGAAATGCTCAACATCAGTAATCATCAGAGAGATGCAAATTAAAACAACAATGAGGTATCACCTCACACCTGTCAGAATGGCCACCATCAACAAATCATCAAACTACAAGTGTTGGCGAGGGTATGGAGAAAAGAGGACTCTAGTACACTGCTGGTGGGAATGGAGACTGGTGCAACCACTGTGAAAAACACTATGGTGTTACCTAAAAAAGTTAAAAATTGAACTGCTATTTGACCCCAGTGATCCCACTTCTAGGAATATACCCTGAGAAACCTGAAACACCAATCAGAAAGAATATATGTAGCCCCATGGTCATAGCAGCACTATTTACAATAGCTAAGATCTAGAAACAGCCCAAGTGTCCATCAGCAGATGAGTGGATTAAAAAGCTGTGGTACATGTACTCAATGGAATACTATGCAGCTGTAAGAAAGAAAGATCTCTTATCCTTTGAGATGGCATGGAAGGACCTGGAGAGTATTATGCTAAATGAAACAAGCTAAGCAGAGAAAGACAAATATTGCATGATCTCACTTATTTGTGGAATATAATGAACTAAACACACTGCTGAACAAAATTAACCCAGAGACATAGAGATAGGGTACAGACTGACAATCCTCAGAGGAGGGAGGTTTGTAGGGGAAGAGATAAATCACAGAACTTACAGGCATGTATGCATGACCAATGAACATAGACAACAAAGCTGGGGATGGGGCTGGGGGGGAAGGAGAGGGTGTCACTGGGGGAAAAATGAGAAACATCTGTAACAAAAACAAATTAATAAAAAATTTAAAAAATAAAATAGGCAAAATAATAAAAATAAAAATAAAAAAGGGCCTTATATTCAGCTTTTACTTTCTAACCTTTTTATAGTATCATTACATTTCTGTACTAACTTCTTCAATCAGAAGATCAATTTTTAGATAGTTCTACCTTCAGAAAAACAGCTACAGTATTTTCTATACTGATAGCAGCAACACTGTAGAAAGTACATTAAACATCTCTCTCATTTAGTCAAGGTTGCTGCAGATACTGTATTTCAACAACATGCTTCATTTTCAGTTATATGATACCACAGCAAATGCCTTTTACTTGATAATTAGGAAGACATATGGCAGAGTCCTAGGCCACATATTATCCACTGGGTTTTGGATTTCAAAAGTCTTTACCCTGAAGTACTCATCATTCATTAGTTACATTAAAATTTTGAGGTATGTGAAATCGGTATCCTATCAAGTAGAGATGATATTTTATTTTTAAATGATTCTATCATCCTACCTAAAAGCTAGAAAGGAAATTAAGAAAATTAAATGTTTAATCAAAACACATGGAGCCACATCTAAGGTTACTAGATGGCAACTTTGACTGAAATGACCTTTATGTTTCATTTATCCACATTACCATCACGGGAAGATGGTGCTTTGTTTCACCTAAAACTAATTACAAACAGCCTCTTCTTTACAGTTAATAAGAAATAATAGCAGAAGGGTCCATCTAAAAGCAAATTAAGTTGATACCATCAACATTATAGTATACTCTGGATGCTGCAATGATAGGATAAATCAGAGCAAAACTCAATGGAAAGTGAATTGATGTTCATCAGTGCTGAAAATTTTAATCTACAGTAATGAGATCCTGACATATTTCACTTTAAAAAAGCCTAAAAGACATGTGTTTTTATTAGTCTCAAATTGTTCCTCTTTTTAAAACAAGTATGTTTTTATTGATTTTAGAGAGATAGGAAGGTAGAGGGAGAGAGAGAAAAAAACATCAATGTGAGAAACATTAATTGGCTGCCTCCTGCACACCCCATATTGGGGAGTGAGCTTGAAACCCAGGCACGTTCCCTGACCAAGATTCAAACCAGCAACCTTTTGGAGCATGGGGCGATGCTCAACCAACTGAGCCACACTGGCCAAGGCTCAAATTGTTCCTCTTGACAGATTACATGAACATACATTAAGACAACATGATATAAAATCACTCTCAGTAGGCTAAGCATTTACATGTGAACTCACATGTATGGTAATATTAGTTTTCCCTTACTAAGTGATATAACTACATCACACTTTAAATGGTAACTTAAAAAAAAACACAATGAAACCATTTAGGCAAAACAAATTTTTTAATGATTGATTTAAAAAACAGAATATTGATCTGAAATGTTTATCAGAAAATCATTGCATTTTTAATTACCTCCACAAATAGGCTTTATATTATACCAAATGAAGGGGAAGAAATATTATTCAATAATTTAAAAAACTGATGCTTACCATAAGATCTGGGAAACCAATGACAACTGTAGCATAACTATTGTTATCGGAGAGAATACGGTTAGGAGAAGCAATCTTTTGTCCCACAGCTGAACTCAGATTCTCAGACGATAGCTGGTCACTTGAAATTTTATGAGGTATGCTGAAATCTGTTTCTGAATAGTGTCAGAGAAACATTAGATATCACATGCCCCTAAAATGCTCCTTGACTTAATTTTTACAACATTTCATTCTCACCAACTCTAACAGAAAAGCACAGGTTAAAAAAGAGAAAACACTTTAATACATTCATGGCCTTTTGTCTGAGAAAACTCAGTTTTTAAATTATTTTTCTTTCTTTCATTTTTCTTTTTTTTTTTTTTTAGAAAAGAAGGGAGAAGGAGAGAGATAGAAACATCAGTAAGAGCCCTGGCTGGTTTGGTACAGTGGCTGGAGCATCGGCCTGGGGACCAGAGAGTCCTGGGTTCAGTTCCTGCCAGGGGCATGTACCTTGGTTGCAGTTTGTCCCTGGCCCCGGTTGGGGTAATGTGAGTGACAACCAGTTGGTGTGTCTCTCTCACACTGATGTTTCTCTCTCTTTCTTCCTCCCTCTCTCCCAACTCTGTCTGAAGATAAATGCAAAAATGTCCTGGGGGAGGATAATAAAAAAACAAAACAAAAACAAAACACCAATGAGAGAGAACATCAATTGGCTGACTCCTGTATGCTCCCCACTGGTGATTGGCCCACAACCTGGGCATGTGCCCTGGCTGGGAATCGAACCGTCAACCTCTTGGTGCGTGGGTCAACATTCAACCACTGAGCCACGCCAGCCAGGGGGAGAACTTCGTTTTTTAGAATTAAGATATTTTCTCAAAATAACTTCAATTTACAGAATTCAAAGTTTTATTAGCAATGACTATTATCATTAATTAACCCTGCAAAAAAGATGTGAAACTGACCCAATCCACATTGGCAATGGTTTGTTTTAGATTTTTTTTTCATAAGTACTATTCACTTCCCTCAGACTATGATGAATTAAGTAGAAATCTTGATGGTCTTTGTAAAAAGAAAAAAATACTACCCTAAAAGTATACCTGATTTGTCAGATATAAAAATTCAAAGACAGAACTTAAAAGAGGGTAGATTCTTATTTACTATTTCCAGCATAGTGACTAAGTTTTCTCTTGGTTTAATTTAACTTGTGCTAATATTACGGTAGTTAAATGGTTCTAGAGGACAGTATGTATATAAGCATGAACTCACACAGCCATGCACACAAAGAACACAGTGTTTACCTTGCGTAACTCCAAACCCTGTGCTGGGCGGCTCCTCCTTCAGCACATACAACTGGCAAGCCCCGCTATCCTCGGACTCAATGTGTGCAGGCTTGGTTAAAAGGTACTTCCTGTACAGAAACAAAACGTTTATGTGACGGTTTTCCTTTTCTAATAATCATGTGGCCAGACTAAAAAATCAAATTTTTCTCTTTCACAGTCTTTCCTTTGTATTTTGAGTATAATTTGCAGTTCCAGAGCTTCGCCACGATTCTCAACACTGTATAGCAAGAGCAGTGCACAATCGCAATGCAGTAGTAAATGGAACTAAAAATCCAACACTTCATATAAGAAGAAGGGTGGTAAAAGAAAAGAAAGAAAAGAAAAAAAAGGGGAAAAACAACTTTAATGAGACACGCACTTATTGTATAGAGCCTGCCGTGGATGCGACTGTTGGATCAGTCAGGAAGCGGGAGCCTGGCCGCCGAGTTGTAACCAGCTAAGGGACAGAAGCCTCACTGCTGTAATCTCCTTGATCTAGTTATTTTAAAGATTTCTGAGATGTCAATGTAGAAACAGCCAGACATCTTTTGCAGCAGGTGACCTCTGCTTGTCAACAGAGCTGCAGAGAAAGTCTGCATCTAGCTAGTGGATAAAACGCATGAAGGAGGGAGATTCAAAAATTACTGTGCACCCTATTAACGCCAAGAGCACATATTGTCCATCTCATCCAGGACTGCATAGTCCACTGGGGAAGCAACACAAACATAAACGTAACCAAATAAGAGTACAGCAGATAAAAACGAAGAAGCAGCTTCTAAGAGGTGACCAAACAGCAACAGCTCTATGATGGAGACTGTGGACCTTTGGAGACAGGATAAACTGAAAATCTATTTTGAGGTATCTCTAGTTTGGCAAGAATATAGTGAGTTCTCAATATGCTAATAGGAAAAAGCCCAAAGAAATATAAATCATACATAAAAGTTATGTTTTTACTGTTAATTTCAATGTGATCCTCTGAACCACTTTTATAATTACTCTGGGAAATGACATTTAATTTACTGTAATTTCCTCTCCTCCCTTCTTTGAACTTTCACCTATAGAGATGCTGCCAAATTCAGACATTGTTAAAAGGCAGACACAGAGAGGCAGAATAGGAAGGGTGCTGGGTAACCCATAAGTAAGGAGGAGCTACAGCACACGCTGAGACACTATGCAGGTCCACCCACTGGTTTGTTTTGTTCTCCACCAGAAGCCATTTGTCCTCTGCTACAAGGAAAACTGTCTTGAGCTCGATGGGAAGTGAGATGGTATGAGTTCGCCCTTCTAGCACATCCAGCACAGTCAAGTTGTTCCTGAAAAAGGAGAAGAAAACTGTATCTGAAAGGAAACGGTGAGGATAATGGTTGAGTAACCATGGCACAGTCATCTCATAATATATTATGCAACCTTAATAAAATCTCTTTAAGACTGATAACATAGAAAAACATTAATTGAGCAAATGGATACACAAAATTATAAACCATGTAAGGGTATGCAAAAAAAGAAACAATGGAAAGTGATAGCTGCCATGCTAGTAATGCTTGGATAACGGAGTTATGAGCACTGTATCTTCTTATATCTATTTCTCAGTGTTCTACAATATGGGATGGGTTTCTTTGGTAATAAAACATTCATAATTTTATTACATTAGTTTTATAATAAACAAGTATATTTATTTACTTATTTATTATTATTAATTTTTAATCCTCATCTGAGGATATTCTTTCAAATATCTTCAGATATAGAGTGTGTGTTGTGGGGGGAGAAACATCAAAACATCAATGTGAGAGAGACACAGCGACTGCCTGCCTCCTGCACGCCCCGAGCAGGGCCGGGACGAAGCACAACCAAGATACGTGCCCTTGACGGGAATCAAACCCGAGACCCTCTGGTCTGCGGGCCAGCACTCTAACTGCTCAGCCAAACCAGCCAGGGCTAAACAAGTACATTTAAAAGAGGATACAGGATGGGCAAAATAAGGACCACAGTTTAAATACTGAACAACCAAGAGCTCACCCTTTTTCTTTGTAGAACACCAGCCAGTTTTTGTGCGAAAATTCTCTACACATTTTATAAGTTTCCTAAAGACAAAACAAAACAAAATATTCACATTAAATGTGTCAGATGCAGTCATGCCTCTTCAGTTGTGTTGCTTTAAATGAAATTCTTCAACATGTGAAAAGTAACTCTCAGAGAAACTACCTCTTTATCTAAACCAAGACTCCTATGGTAACATGGATTAAAATATATGTCAAAATGTACTATGAACTACGTACTAAAACATCTTTAGAATTGTTAAAAATAACACCCAATACTGGTGAGAAATAAACATGCTATCCGATGTTTAACTGTGGAATTTGTTATAACATAAATAAAGAGAAAATAACTTTTCTTTTAGATTTGGATATATTTGTGACATTTTAAAAATCTCTTTCTTCATGCTCTTTTGAGACCTAAGTATGCTATCCTGCAGAGCACAGAATAAGCTTTATTATATATTATATATATTCATTACCTTTTACTGAATGGCAGAATAAATTCCCTTGGGTTGGCCTAAAATGTTTATTTACTAGTTTAATTTAATTAATACCTAAAAATGTTTATCGAGTAGGTGCAATTAGGTGTTGTAATCATGGGTTTATCATATAAATCCAAAACATAAATGTGTATCTGGAAAACAATTTAAAGCGACTGCATGATTAGGAATTTGTTACGAATATCATACTCAAATAGCTCATAATGTTCTATTATTATGCATTCAGTCCTGACAAGATTTCATGTGCATATGATGGATTAAAGAAAACGCTATTGGTATTTAATGATATGTGTATCTGTGTCTATTTGTATGGTGTTAAAATCTACAAGAGCATAATAAGAGAATTCTCTTGAGCATGATAATAAACAAAAGGCACTGAAAGGGATGGGCAGGCATTCATCTTTATGGTGAAAAAGCTATAGAAAATCCTTGACAATTTGCTGGACAAGTTGGGTTTCCTTACGGCTTCTTCCTTGTTCCACCAGGAAGGTCTCTTAGATGTAACTTCTTCTGAAGTGAGAACGAGACGACGAAGGGCTCGGCCAATGGTATCCAACAACAAGATGACATGACTCTGGAAATAAAGAGAACAGTAAAAAGTTCAAGACTTGTTCCTGTTTGTAGAAGCAGAAGGACCTTGGCAACCTGGGAGTAAAGGTTACATGATAACCCAAACAGAAGGTAGCAATATTGAAACACTTAAGATGAAGATGGCAAATGGTTTCCTTCACACAGAATTTAAAGTAGTCGATGGTTTAATGAAGATGTTTCTAATTATATGATGTAGACGGTATTCTTTTTGAAGATTTTATCTTAAAACCATCCACTTCTTGCCCTGGCCAGTTTGGCTCAGCAGTTAGAGCATCAACCAGCGGACCAGGGAGTCCTAGGTTCGATTCCAGCCACGGGCACGTACCTTGGTGGCAGTGCATCCCAGGCCCTGGTTGGGGTAGTTCGGGTAGCAACCAATCGATGTCTCTCCCCTCCCCCCACTCTGTCTGAAGATAAATGTAAAAATATCCCTGACTGAGGATTAAAAATAAAATAAATAAAAATAAATTGATTCCTTTAAAAAAAAACAATCGCTTCTTAATATAGGCTAGCTTAAGCATGATTCTATTTTATTACATAGTAATGATAAAATTAAGAGGATTAATACTTTTTAAATTATTAATTTACTTTTATCAAATTTATACTTAAAGAATGTTCTTTTTAAAACTCTCCTACAGATTTCCGGTCAAGATAGCAGCGTAGGTAAACGCGGTATCGCATCCTCCCACAACCACATCAAAGTTACAGCTAAACTACAGAACAACCATCATTCAAAACCGCCTGAAATCAAGCTGAATGGAATTAAAGCAGCAGCCACATCGAGACCAGTAGAAGGGGCGGCGGTGGATGGGCTGGTCCCACACCCACGTGTGGCAGATGAAAATCAGGAGGACACCTCAGCTGGAAGGTCCTCCCTGAGGACTGAGGGGTCCCCGTCCCACACCAGGTGCCCCACTCAGGGTTCCAGTGCCAGGAAGATCAGCGGGAACTCAGGCTCAGGGATGCTGACACGGCTGGAGCCCCAGGCAGCTCCTTAAAGGGCCCGCGCACAAACTTATCGGACTCTCTCCCTCTAAGCTTGGAGGGGAGGCAGCTCGAGGGGCGCCAGAGACATACATGGAAGAACTGAGCTGTTTGGCACTGGAGCGAGGGCTGGAGAGGGGGCTTTCTCCAGGACAAACGTGCTGTCAGAGGCCTTTGTTCCTTTCGTGAGCCCTTCCCTGGGACAGCAGACAGTCACCAAATCTGGGACTCCAGCAACCTGGCTCACACTGGTAGCCCCGCCCTGTTGTCTCCCTGAGGCCCCGCCCCACCCAACTTTCAGGCCCACCCAAGCTGTTGCCAGTTGCTTAACCATAGGATTGGCCTGTCTTGGATCCTGCTTCAGGTTTTCCTAAATTCTTTCAAACAAGCAGCATCTGGTCTCAGCTAGCCCCATACCGCTCGTTAAGTAATACACTGAAACAAACACAGGGAGGCAGCCAAAATGAGGATACAAAGAAACAGGTCCCAAATAAAAGAACAGAACAAAACCCCAAGAAAAGAACTAAGAGAAATGGAGATAAGCAACCTAACAGATGCTGAGTTCAAAATACTGCTTATAAGGATGATCAATGACTTAGTGAGAACCTCAGTGAACTTAGGGAGGGCCTCAAGAGCATAAAAAAGGACCAGTCAGAAATGAGGGATGCACAGTCAGAAATGAAGGAGGCATTAACTGAAATAAAGAATAATTTACACAGATTCAATAGTAGAGTACATAAATCCAAGGAGCAAACCATCGATTTAGAATATAAGAAAGCAAAAAACAGCCAATCAGAACAGCAAAAAGAAAAAAGAATCCAGAAAAATGAGGATAGTGTAAGGAGCCTCTGGGAAAACTTCAAGCGTGCCAACATTTGCATTTTGGGGGTGCCCGAAGGAGAAGAGCGAGAACAAGAAATTGAAAACCTGTTTGAAACAATAATGGCAGAAAACTTTCCTAACTTGGTGAGGGAAACAGACATACAAGTCCAGGAAGCACAGAGAGTCCCAAACAAGATGAACTCCAAGAGGCCCACACCAAGACACATCATCAAAATGCAAAAGGTTCAAGACAAAGAGAGAATCTTAAAAGCAACAAGAGAAAGGCAGTTAGTTACCTACAAGGGAGTTCCCAAAAGGCTGTCAGCTGATTTCTCAAAAGAAACTTTGCAGGCCAGAAGGGAGTGGCAAGAAATATTCAGAGTGATGAAAACCAAGAACCTACAACCAAGATTACTCTATCCTGCAAAGCTGTCATTTAGAATTGATGGCCATATAAAGAGTTTTTCAGACAAGAAAAAGTTAAAGGAGTTCATCACCACCAAACCGTTATTATATGAAATGATGAAGGGTCTTTTTGAAGAAAAAGATAAAATGTATGAACAAACAAAATGGCAATGAATACATATCTATTGACAATGGAATCTACAAACAAAATGAACAAGCAGAACAGAAACATTCTCATAGATACAGAGAACATTTTGTTGGTTGCCAGATGGGAGGGGGTTTGGGGGAATGGGTGAAAAAGGTGAAGGGATTAAGAAGTACAGATTCGTTGCTAGACTGACAAACCTCAAAGGAAAGGGGTTGGGGGGTGGGAAGAAATAAACCAAAGAACTTATATGCATAACCAATGGGCACAAACAATAGTGTGGGAAAAGGCAGGAGGGGGGCAGGAGTGGGGAGGAGGAAGTCAATGGGGGAAAAATGAGGAACATCTATAATACATTCAACAATAAAGATTTTTTAAAAATTAATAAAAAATAAAAAACTCTCCTACAGTTGGGAAGAGGGTGTCTAGGGGGGAAAAAGGAGAAAGATCTATAACAAAAATAAGTTAATAAAAATTGGAAAACAAAACAAAACTCTCCTACATTGTACACAATTATATAAAAATTAAATTTAACAATTAAAAATAATAATTAAATAAATTATTTTCACAAATCCAGTTCAATTCAGAAAATAGGTACATGATATATAAAGATAGGTTACCAAGAAAATATCAAGGCCTACAAGAACCTAGCTAGTAATAAGTGTTCTTCATCTTGAAATTTGCAAAGCTTAAAAAACATTCATAGTTGGTGTTGTAATAACGTGCAAACAACAGATCACTCTAGCATTATTAATTACAGTTATGCAAACGAAGTAATAGTCTCTTGGTAATTAGATGTATTTATTTATTTATTTATCCTCACCAGAGGACAATTTTTTTTTTTTTGCATTTATCTTCAGATAGAGTGGGAGGGAGAGAGAGAAAGAGAGAGAGAGAGAGAGAGAGAGAGAGAGAGAAACATGGATGTGAGAGAGACACATTGAGTGGCTGCCACCCACATGGCCCAAACCAGGGCCGGGGACAAACTGCAACTGAAGTACGTGCCCTTAGTGGGAACCGAACCCGGGTCTCTCTGGACTGCGGGCCGAAGCTCCAACTGCTTAGCCAAACCGGCCAGGGCTCAGTAATTAGATGTTTTTAAAGGAAAGAAAATTTTAAGTAAACTTTAAGCATTAAAAGAAATGAACAGAAACACATGAAATAAAAACTTAATACTGAGAAAGGCAAAAAAGATGAAATATTTTAAAGGGGTGAAAAGCTGGCTTTTCTAGCAAAAATTTGAAGACCCTTAACAGGTTTGTAAAAAGGCATCAGCAAATTGTCAGGCCCCATAGTATATTAGGCAATTATTTTTCTTTCTTCTCCTTCTCCTTCTCTTTCTTTTTTTTTTTTTTTTTTTAAATTGGGACTTCTCCATTATCCTAACCTTTTTGAATTTTCATTTTAAGAACTCCCTTTGGGGAAAATTAAGTCACAAAGCACCCAGATAATTAATATACTTTGCAAAATTAGGAAACAGAATATTAAATGTTTATTTATTTCTCCCATAATGCAGTTGATATTTAAAGCACAAAGGAGAATACAATGATGAATTAACTACGGCCCTTGTCATCTATTATATAATTCAGTCAGAGGGAAATAAAACAAAAGTAAAAGGATTAATTATTCATCTGCAAATCTGGAACTACATAATGTGGTTTCAAATTTATTTTACCAGCTAATTTGATTGAAGTGCTCAAGAATTAAACTAGTATTCACGTCACATGGTTTCTTTCACTTGATATACTCAATCTTGGCTGTAGTAAAAATTCTACTAAGCATGTTGACAAAGCTTAGATCCCTCCACACACATCACCCTTAGAATCCATTATTCTATATAAAATGCAATTCTCCATTAAGAATGTGTGTTGGGAATATTCTTTTTAAAAATAACACTTTATGTAAGAAGTATTACTCCAGGCATTTGAAAGTTGAAAATGATAGCGATGTCTAAAAGTTTTCCTCAGGGAAACGTATTAAGTAAAAAACTTACAGTCTCCATTCTAGATTAAATCTTTTTTGAATAACTATTTTTTTTAAAGGAGGAACTCTTTTGTGTATGAAAAATATGTACAGCATTAACATGAATTCTTAGCACTGAAGCAATTTGGGATAGTATTAACTTTTCTAAGCAAAGAAAAAAAAGTCCTAAAAATAATGTCTGATCTCAAAATATGATTAAGCAGATGATTAAACAGATATGATTAAGCAGAAAAATAAGTTAGTACAGTTTTGCATTTTTCTTCCTTTTTAGGATCTAATGCTTATATACTCATAACCTGGTCTAAGTGAACTGAAAAACTGTCTAAGTGACAGAAAACATATATTTCTAGTCACTGCTGTATTTAGAATTAGTTTTAGAAGAAATTGGCAACATGAAGAAGTTCTGTTGTTCCATCTTTTTAGAACTTAATGGTTTCCTTCTGTAAATGACTAATGATATATTCGGTCTGGGTTTAAAAATAGAATTTTGCGTCACACACGAGTACATGTAACTGTGGCTTTGGCGCTCCTTTAAGGGGGCAGGGAGGAGAAGCAAGTGAGCAATTTTATTATGTTTGTATTTGACTGGGAGAAAAGTAACCTCTGGATGACCTCAGTGTCCCAAAGTCTGAAATTCTAAACTT